CTTCACAGCATGAGGGCAAATCGACTGTACCCGCAACCGCGTGCTGTAACACGCAGCTCCAGAACTTACTGAGTTTTCTCATCTTCTTTGCCTCTGTCAGCCGACCTGGCTTTTTGGCTGAACATCAAGGTGAACCCCAAGCACCAGCACGCATGGCCCCAATCCGAAGCCCCAAAATTGCAGCGCAAACACGTCTCCTTTAATCACGCGCGCTACGTCTCTGCTGCTATGGCCTGTTCCCACTACTCGTCAACTGGGCTGTCTTTTGTCCTGTTTCAATTTCTAGGCCGCACAAACCCCTTCCGCGCGATCCTTCCGCCAATGCTTCCGCAGCCTTCCGCGCCGTTGGCAGGTTTCCGAGTCACTGAATGTAGTTCTTCCGCGCGCGCTTCCGCGAACAGTTTTGGAAGCGACCCTTCCGCAAGAGCAAAGGACCCTCCAGCGCACTACGTCAATATGTTTTATCGCACACATCGGCTTCTGTATTCGCGTTCTTCCGCGCCCTTCCACGGAGCAAATTCCTTGGGCAGCCCTTCCGTGTCCTTCCGCGCCCACAGCCCCAGAGCGATTTCTGGATCGAATCATCTTGTCATGTCCAGCTCTCGTCTCAAGTAAAAATGTCAAAATGGAACACACTGCTCGACTGCGCTCACCGCTTCGGACACAAGTGTACCACAAACAAGCAAGCGCCTCGTCATCTGTGGCGACGTATGTCTTATGGAGATGGTCAGGCGTGTCGCTGATCGCCAGCCGTTTGCTCGCAAGAAAAACACGCCGGGCAGCAAAGATGGTTTCCCCAAGCCGAAAGCACATCCAGCGCAGCAGCAAACGGTCAAGAGGCGTCTCTTGAGCTAGGGGCAGCTCAAGATCAGCCTTAGGACACTGGTCCTTCTGCCACTGGAGCGCGAGCCTTGGCAGATTGAGCGGACGTTGGGCTTCTGGGTCATCTGAGTGGTACTGGGCATAGTCAAACCCTTCGTACCTGCTGTCTTCCATAGGATGCTCGTCGTCAACACTCAGCTCGGGATAGCCTACATGCTGTCACACAACGACATTGAGATACTGTGCAAGTCAGCGTTGATCGGTGCAAACTTGGAAGCCGCTGCAAGATCTTGGCGCGTCGAAGAAAGTACAACAGAGGAGCGTGAGGACACTCGTCAAATGGTAGAATCAATCGCCTGTTGGATAAGGGACGCCACCTGCTTGAATGCTATCAACAATGACGACAAGTCTCACACGGCCAGGCATGCAAACTTGGCATGGATGGCACACACGACATGCCTGGAACGGAGCATTGTGAAATCCCGGGCTGCAAGATATGGGGCCAAAGATCTGGAGTCGATACGCGAAGCGCCAATGCCAGAGGAGTACGCCGAGATGCGAGAGCGAGTGCTGAAGACCAGGCTGGAGTCTTGTGTGAAGGAACTTCTGACAACGACTAGGCCTCATACTGGGTTGGAACTGAGCGCAGCTCCAAAGAAGATTTCATTTGACAATGGCAGCGACACTCAGCCACTAGTGAAGACAAGCCTGGCAACAAGGATCATGGTCTTCTTGAAAGACAGCTCCATAACATCCGAGTTATTCACCAGCAGGGAGCTTGTCCGCGACTCGATACCGCAAAAAGCTGTCAGCTTTCGAGCAAGTACCCTTGTCCTCCTCTCTTTCTGCTTGCGTCTGTTTGACAACCTCTTCGAGGGCGCAGTGTGGAGTGCCAGGTAGGCATCATTCGAAGTCTTGGTGGCTTTTTTCCCAACCTGTAGTCGTAGCACCCGTATGCTCCTTCCAGGTTGGAGCCAACAGAGCTGCCCTCGGGATCAACTGCTTTTGTCGGCTCTAGCGCTCAGCATGAGATCATGAAGATCCGGTTGATCGAACTTGCAAGCAACTGCTTCAACCTCCAGCCCTGCGTCCGAGCAAGCTTTAAAATGGTCGCCATCTCCCCTGTCCAGAAAGGGCAGACCTCCGTTCATGCTTGCAGCTGTGCGCGAGAAGAATTGCTTCATTGTCTGTCAAGATGATGACAGCTGGCAGAGCCTCTATCAGCGCGGACATGTCCTTTGCTGATTGCCTGAATATCCCTCTGCACCTTGTGAACTCGAACTTGTTCAGAACACTGGCTCACAGCTTGGTTTGGCCCGCCACAACCAACAGTGTTGCAAAATGCGGAACAGTTCCAGACTCGGGCACTGGCTTCTTTGCCACATAAGCCATGCAAAGGCATAGAACGAAAGCGTTGATTTTCGCCTTAGCCCCGAAAGCACCAGACCTCTTGAGCCAAAATGGCTACTCCCACTCTCTCTCTCTCTCTCATTGTTTTTTCTGTGTTTTCTGGTCGTTAAAAATTTTAATTTATTGATTTCTTTCTTTGCTTCGTTATGTCTTGTTTTCTTTCATCTTTCTTTCTGTGTTTCTTTATTTCTATGTTTCTATATTTCTTTACTTATTCATTTCATATTTCTTTTTGTCTTTATTTCTGTATTTCTTTATTTCTTTACTTCTTTATTCCTTTATTTCTTTATTTCTTTATTTCTTTATTTCTTTATTTCTTTATTTCTTTATTTCTTTATTTCTTTATTTCTTTATTTCTTTATTTCTTTATTTCTTTATTTCTTTATTTCTTTATTTCTTTATTTCTTTATTTCTTTATTTCTTTATTTCTTTATTTCTTTATTTCTTTCTTTATTTCTTTATTTCTTTATTTCTTTATTTCTTTATTTCTTTATTTCTTTATTTCTTTATTTCTTTATTTCTTTATTTCTTTATTTCTTTATTTCTTTATTTCTTTATTTCTTTATTTCTCTATTTCTTTATTTCTGTATTCTTTATTTCTTTATTTCTTTATTTCTTTATTTCTTTATTTCTTGATTTCTTGATTTCTTGATTTCTTTATTTCTTTATTTATTTATTTCTTTTTTCTTTATGTCTTCATTTCTTTATTTCTTTATTTCTGTATTTCTTTAGTTCTTTATTTCTTTATTTCTTTATTTCTTTATTTCTTTATTTCTTTATTTCTTTATTTCTTTATTTCTTTATTTCTTTATTTCTTTATTTCTTTATTTCTTTATTTCTTTCTTTCTTTATTTCTTTCTTTCTTTACTTCCTTACTTCTTTACTTCTTTATTTCTTTATTTCTTTCTTTCTTTCTTTATTTCTTTATTTCTTTATTTGTTTATTTCTTTATTTCTTTATTTCTTTATTTGTATATGTCTTTCTTTCTTTACTTCTTTACTTCTTTACTTCTTTATTTCTTTATTTCTTTATTTCTTTATTTCTTTATTTCTTTATTTCTTTATTTCTTTATTTCTTTATTTCTTTATTTCTGTATTTCTTTATTTCTTTATCTCTTTATCTCCTGTTTTCTTTGTTTCGTTGTTTCTTTGTTTCTTTGTTTCTTTGTTTCTTTATTTCTTTATTTCTGTATTTCTGTATTTCTTTATTTCTTTATTTCTTTATTTCTTACTTTCTTTATTTCTTTATTTCTTTATTTCTTTATTTCTTTATTTCTTTATTTCTTTATTTCTTTATTTCTTTATTTCTTTATTTCTTTATTTCTTTATTTCTTTATTTCTTTATTTCTTGATTTCTTTATTTCTTTTTTTCTTTATTTCTTTATTTCTTTATTTCTTTATTTCTTTATTTCTTTATTTCTTGATTTCTTTGTTTCTCCGTTTCTTTATTTCTTTATTTCTCTATTTCTTAGTTTCTTTATTTCTTTCTCTATTTATTTCTTTATTTCTTTATTTCTTTATTTCTTTATTTCTTTATTCCTTTTTTTCTTTATTTCTGTACTTCTCTTTATTTCTCTTTATTTCTCTTTATTTCTCTTTATTTCTCTTTATTTCTCTTTATTTCTCTTTATTTCTCTTTATTTCTCTTTATTTCTCTTTATTTCTCTTTATTTCTCTTTATTTCTCTTTATTTCTCTTTATTTCTCTTTATTTCGCTTTATTTCGCTTTATTTCGCTTTGTTTCTCGTTCTTTCTCTTTCTTTCTCTTTCTTTCTATTTCTTTCTCTTTCTTTCTCTTTCTTTCTCTTTCTTTCTCTTTCTTTCTCTTTCTTTCTCTTTCTTTCTCTTTCTTTCTCTTTCTTTCTCTTTCTTTCTCTTGCTTTCTCTTTCTTTCTCTTTCTTTATCTTTCTTTCTCTTTCTTTCTCTTTCTTTCTCTTTCTTTCTCTTTCTTTCTCTTTCTTTCTCTTTCGTTCTCTTTCTGTGTCTTTCTTTCTTTGTCTTTGTTTTCTAAAAATTTCTTTGGTTTCTTTAGTTTTGATTTGTTGTTGTTGTCTTTTTGTGTATCTTTCTTTTTTTCTTTCTGGTTCTGTATGTTATTGATGCTTTTGTTTCTTTTGTCTGACTGTTTCTGTATTGTTCTTTATGTTTTCTTTTCTTCTGTATTTCTCTTTTTGTATCTTGCTTTCTCTATATTTCTTTCTTTCTTTCTTTATTTCTTTCTTTCTTTCTGCATTTCTTTGTGTATGTACTTAGTTCTTTCTTTCTTTCTTTGGTCGTTCTTGCTTTCTTTCCTTCTTCTTTTCTTTCGCTCTCTCCTTCTTTCTTTTTTTCTTTCAGAACTTGCGTATGGAAGTAGCGAAAAACACAGCCTTCTCGAGTAAAAGCCACGAAGATCCCCGAAAATAGCGGTTTTTTCTCTCTATATATATATACCGATGGAAGAAATGGCGAATATAATGGTGGCTTCTTCGTAAAAACACCAACCAAAACATAAAATGAAGAAAAAAACACAAAAGCTGAACAAGGAATAGGGTCCCCCGACTAGCGCATCAGCCACAGAACCATCTCCGACATGAATGGACAAGGAAATAATAAACAGACGGAATACAACTAATGGAACTTCAGGAACTAGAAAAACCCAACCCACAACACCACGAAGATGTTCAGCAAGGCTTCAGCAAGGCTTCAGCAAGGCTTTATATGTTTCGGTGAATTGTGCTGATGACTCTCTGAACAAGCCATGAAGAACAATAAATCAGCCCAGCCACGTAGGCGTCGTCATCCTCCGGATTTTGGAGCACCAGATCATTCAGCAGGACTCCCTCCTCCGAGGCGCTTTTTTAGGGCTTAGGGTTTAGGGTTTAGGGTTTAGTGTTTAGGGTTTAGGGTTTAGGGTTTAGGGTTTAGGGTTTAGGGTTTAGGGTTTAGGGTGTGTGGGCTCTCGATGCTTCAGGGCAGGCATGGGAGGACGGGTCTTTTTCGCTCTCTGTGCCAAGACCACCTGGCAAGAACCTGGTAGCTGTGCTCCTTCAGCTCGTGCAGCTCGTCCTCCAGCTGCCAGAGTTCCTGACAATGTGTTTGCGAGAGAACGTCACAAGACGTGACGTAAAGTGAGGAAGCTGAAGACACGTGAAGAGAAGTGAAGACAGACCCATCACAGAGTCCGCAGCTGCAGCAGCTCCAAAGCGGCCCTCAGCCCGAACCCCAAGCCCTCACCGCCCTCACCCCCAAGCCAGCTGCTGCCACGCCAACTGACCCTAAACCCTAAACCCTAAGCCCCAAACCCTAAACCCTAAACCCTAAACTCTGTGCATGGTGCCTTGTCCGTCAAAGGTCGGCGCCTGTGCTCGCGCATCCGGCGCTCGATGTCTTTAATGAGCTCGGAAGCAGCCCTCGGTTTAGGGTTTGGGGTTCAGGGTTTAGGGTTTGGGGTTTAGGGTCTGGGGTTTAGGGTTTTAGGGTTTAGGGTGTTAGGGTTTAGGGTGTAGGGTTTAGGGTTTAGGGGTTAGGGCTGCATGGTTCGCTGAAGTAGCGATAAATAGTGCAATCAAACCCTTTGTCAACCACGCCTGTTGGCCGTTCAGAAACGGAAGCAGGCCCCGAAACAACGTGTAGTCCTCGGCTTTGGCCTCGGACCTGACCCCCACAAACCTCAAACCCCCTCCGGTCCAGGAAGCTTGGAAGGTGCCACGGCCGTCTTTGCAGCACAGTGGATGTCGCCCTTGAAGCGTCAAGAACGTTTCGAGCGCGAGGAGTGTAAGGGAGGGAAGGCTAGATTTCGCGACGTCGGGTCTTATCGGCTTGGTTTCAGGCAGAAGCTTTCGTCAGGATTCAAGAAGATTGCATTTAGTGTTTCAGCTTTGTACCTGGCAGGTAGGGTTGAAACTCTACCGGTTTGGGAATCGAAGGTTGGGCTGCAAGGCTTGCTTCGCTAAACCCGAGCGTGTGGCCACAGAAGCAGTGGGAATCCGAGTCTGCAAGTTGATGCAAACTTGGGGGGGGGGGGGGCATGATGCATCTTGCGCTCGTGGGGGGGAATGGGGGACAGGAGGGAGACAAGGGTAAAACAGCCTTCCAGAACCCAACAGACCCTGCATCAGGCGAGACAAGCTCAGAGACAAAGAAGCACCGAGCCACCGGATCACCGAACGCGCACCTCACCTCGCGAGTCATCTGACTGAGCCACAGAACGCCATAGAGCAAGCGATTGAGCCACGGAACGCAAGCCACACCGGATTGGCCGAGTACGCACATGAAGGGAGACAAAGGAGGACAGGCTAGGGAATGAACACGGCAAAGGCCACTCACATCAAAGGGGAACAACGGGAAGCGGCCTCCCCAACCTGAGTGCCTGCAAAGCACCCCCCACCCCCGGACGCCTGGAAGGTTCCCTCCACGTGAAGCACCCCGTCATCCATGAACCACTTCTCATTGGCGAACTCGTCGCAGAGTTGTTCCTGGGATGACTCGACACTCGAAACACGCATGGTCGCGAACACGGCCACCAAGATCGAATGTTCGGGCTTTTGATTTGGGGGCCTTCAGGGTCCGAAACCCCAACAACCCCACATGCTGTTACAAAACCCAAAGCCATACAAACCCCAAATGTTCAGAGAGCTCTCCACCAGGCAGCATTCGAGGAGACGAGGATGACGCCGCCCGCATAATGGTCCAGCGCGCTGCGGAGGCCCTGGATGTCCTCTCTTCAAAATGGGATCAACAAAACGGCTCTCAAGTTGGGGGGTTCTTTTTGGGCTTTCCTTTGGGCTGTTTTTGCGTTATCGAAACTTTACGAAGGTCTCGCTTGCCTTAGTTCTGGGGTTTCATGGGCGTCCTCAGCATCCATGTAGTCCGCAAGCTCGTCCAAGATCAGAATGTGCGGATGCTGCCAGAGCGCCGCGGCCAAAACGATCCTGCCCCCCAAACGGCCCAGAAGTCCCCGATCCGGCACAGAAGCCCTTGCCCACAAAACCTCGAGAAAAGCCCCCAAAAAGCTCTCTAACGAGCGTCAGGAGCCTTCCTCCTACTTTCTGAAGGGGGGCCCTGGTCAAGCCCGGGAATTTGAGTAGCAGCGGCTGTCGAACCTCTTCAAGCATCTCAGCTCCTGAAACCCGACTTTAAGACCTGGAGAGTCAGAAGGGGTTCGGCTTGCAATTCGAAGGCCGAGCACGGCCTAGCTATGGGGGCTGTTGTCTTGGGATGCTTGGGAGGGCCGAAGGCAGTAGTTCACCTCTCAGCTGAGAAGTTTAGGAAAGTTCAGTGTTCCACTGCTCCGAGATTCAGAAGTCGATGCCAGTCCTGATCTTCATGTTGCGGGAGAGCCGGCCTGCGTGCAGATTGCCGTTCTCGGGCATAGGGTCGGAGTGCACACACATTGTGAAGTACAGACGTCTGAAACGACCCCCGCACACACACAGTTGCAATCGCGCTGCTGCAGAACCCCGCACAAAGCGCGCGAAGCCGAAACCCCCAGAACTGCTGCCTTCAAGCCTCATTCCAAACAATTTCCAAATTCACAGCTGATCCTGAGAACCTCAATTCCTGACACAATCTACATCTTCGCATCCCGGTGTCAGCTCAGGCACCCATGGGCATCTGACAGGCGCTGGCATCCACTTGGAAGCGGGAAAGGTGGCTCTGCACATTCTCCCGGGTCAGCTCCTCAGGGACGATACCCTGTCACTGTTCTATGTGTAGGTGTGGCGGGCAAAGGGTTTTGACAAATTGTTTCTCCGTTTCCAGTTGCAGTAGATGCTGCGTCCCACTGCAGGGACTCCGTTGCGCGAGAGATGACATGTGTCCCCGAAGCTTGGGGAATTCCTGACATTTTCCCTGCAGGTTGTGTGAAAAGGCTGAAAAAGAACATGCCTGGTAGAATCATCCCTGAACCCTAAACCCTAAACCCTAAACCCGGGTCATAGTGGGGGAGCATCGAGCCGCCTTGACTGCCAGAGCGGAGGAGGCCTGCCAGTCGTCTTCCAGCCGGGCCAGGCTTTTGTAGCCTCAGGGGGGAAATTTGGATGGCCGTGAATGAAGCACTGAGAGGTCTTTAAGAGCTTTTAGGAGTTTTTTGGGGCCTACATTTTCTAAGCCTTAAAGGACTCTGCGGCGACTGAGAAGAAGTCTTATCGGGTTCGGCTTTGTAGGCCCTCAGTCTCTAGCAACTCTAGCCACCAAGAGCTCCGCGTGTGGACTTTCGTCTGTTGGTGTCGTTTCTTGAGGCTTCTTGCCACTTGGTAGGTTCTTATGCGCTTGGCGTGCGGAGGGCTCAGGGGGTTTATACAAGGATTGTGCAATGGTGCCGTCGCAGTGGCCCATCGCGTCTGTGAAGCACACATGGTAAAATGCTTGGATATAAAGACAAGGAGCACGAGTCTGCGACACCAACACTAACACACACACACACACACACACATATATATATATATATATACACATGTACATATTGATTTTAGTCGCTTGCTGCCCCCTTGCCGCGGCGGCGCGTCTTCGGCGCCGCTTCGGCTCGCTCTACGAGGAGCGCACGATCAATCTCGGCTCGACGCCACTCCTCTGGCATTGCCGCAGGCCTCCGCAGCACTGCCTCCTGCTCGACTTCGTCTTCGTTCGGTACGAGAATCACACTATGCCGCTCCTTTGGCTTGGCCGCAGGCCTCTGCATCACCGCTGGCTCCACTGCTGGTGCCTGTGGTACGTTTTTTTTTAAAGGCACAGAGACAGAGAGAGAGAGAGAGAGAGAGAGAGAGAGAGAGAGAGAGAGAGAGAGAGAGAGAGAGAGAGAGAGAGAGAGAGAGAGAGATGGCACGCGCACCTCGAGCTGTCGTTTCCTGGAGAAGAGCGCCTTCCAGCCAACGGAGGGGTCGAAGGTCAAGCTCGGAGCAGCTTGGCGGGCGAGCTGCTGCTGAAGCTCGTCGTCGAGGGCGTCCCAGTGCACCAAGGCCAGCGGAAAGGCGTGCGCACTCGCGAGGGCGGGGCTCAAGGACCGCGAGTGGAGGAGGAGCACCTGCCGATCTTCGGCCTCCAGATGAAGTGGGGCGAGTCGGCTTGGCGGAGACGGTCCAAGGTCGCTGCACCCTCCTTTTGCTGGAACTCGTTGAGGGACTCCCAGACCTGCTCCGCCTTCAGCACGATGTCCGCACGCTTGGCCGCCCTTCCAGGTGGCGCCACAGGGGCTGGCTTGGGCTTGGCGGTCTAGGAAGGCACTGGCCTGCATCAGAGCATCACCAGACAAGGCACTTGCACTTATCTACTCATAGCCCACGGGGCCACAGGGGCGTGCCTCTTCGAACAGCTGCTGTGTGAAGCCAGTGCCTACCTCCAATGACACAAAGCAACACAAGGCATTGCCCCTGGTCTGCCCCTGATGTCGTGAAATTGTCCGACCTGCATTGACAACCCGCCGCTTGTCTTGACATTGTCATAGCCTCGGTTCCAGCTGTGCCAAATGTGCGGGTGGACTCCTCCTGGGCGCGCTCCTCGGCCTCGGCACGAGGGTGTATTTTGCTCGCAGGTGGAAGACGGACATCACGTGCTGGTCCACGGCGGTGTCCTCGTTCTTCACATAGCGACCGCAGGTGACGCACTGCAGCCTTTCTGGCGTTTTTGGCTTCTCTGCGTTCCTGGTTGGGGATTGGGGACGCAGCTGCTTGTGCAACTGGGTCCGCAAGCGAGTCGCCCTGGCTTCTGCATGCCCACGGTCTGGCTCCGGACGTCGGCTCCTATCTCCCCTGTCCCTGGCTGCCTGTCCCGACTTCGACCACGGCGGTCCCTTCCGGAGTCCCTGCGGGCGTCCTTTCCAGGCTGCTGAGGTCGGGTTGAACGAAGTTCCAGAACGTGCTCTTCGCATCTTAGCGCTCGCCGTCTGGCTTCACAAGCACCAGCTCTGGGCGCGTTATCGGGCACCAGGCCTCAGCCGTCTCCAGCAGTCTTTAGTTTCAAGGTTTCCTGCCCGAAACAAAGTCGAACATGCTCGACAATGCTACAAAATGCTCGAAAATGCTCGAAAAAGCTAGAAAAAAAATGCTACCAAAATGGTTGGAAATGGTCGGAAATGCTCGAAAATGCTTGAAAATGTTCGAAAATGCTTGAAAAAGCTCAAGATTGCTCTCGAATGCTCGAAAATATTTGAAAATTCTCGAACGTGCTTGAAAATTCTCGAAAATACTCGCAAATGCACACAACGCTCGGAAATGCTTCAAAATGCTCGAAAATGTTCGAAAATGCTCCAAAATGATCAAAAATGGTCGCAAGTCGTGGAAAATGCTCGAAAATGCTCGCAAATGCGCGACAATGCTCAGAAATGCCCTGGAAAACGCAAGAAAATATTCGACAATAGAAAATGGTCGGAAATGGTCGAAAAATGTTCGAAAATGTTGCACAATGCTCGAAATTGCTCGAAAAAGTTTCCAGAGTGCTCAGAAATGCTCGGAAATGGTCGGAAATGCTCGGAAATGCTCGGAAATGCTCGGAAATGCTTGAAGAAGCTTTTAAATTGATCTCGAATACTCGAAAATACTTCAAAATTCTCGCACATGCTTCAAAATGCTCGAAAATGCTCGCAAATGCACGAAAATGTGCGGAAATGCTGCAAAATACTCGAAAATGATCGAACATGCTGCAAAATAATCGAAAGTGGTCGACAGCGGTGGAAAATGCTCGAAAATGCGCGCAAATGCTCGACAATGCTCAGGAATGCCCGCAAATGCTTCCAACATGGTCGGAAATTGATGAAAATATTCGCAAATGTTGGAAATACTCGAAATTGCTTGAAAAAGCTCGAAAATGCTACCAAAATGCTCGAAAATGGTCGGAAAAGGTCGGAAATGCTTGAAAATGCTCGAAAATGCTTGAAAAAGCTAAAAAAAAATCTCCTCGAATGCTGCAAAATACTTGAAAATTCTCCAAGGTTTCCTCCCCTTGCACTTTTTGCTATCGGGCACCAGACCCCAGCCGTCTCCAGCAGTCTTTAGTTTCAAGGGGGCATCCAGCTCGACGCGGGCGCAATGCCTCGACCAGGCTTCCAACCGCTGCCGCCGAGCCTCCTTGGGTGTGACGCGCTGCAAGTCTTGTAGGATTTCCAGAACGGTGGGTAGCGAGTCGACACTGTAAAACTCGGAGTACTTGTAGGTGTCGACCAGCGTGTGCAGAGGAGGAGGCTTTGTCTCCTTTCGCTTGCGGGCGGAGCCGGGGTCCAATCGCAGCACTGTCAAGACGTGCTGCGGGCAGGACGCCTCGAGGGCCTCGTGGGCGATCTGCTCGATGTCCTTGGCAAGGCCTTCGGCGCTATACACGGCTGTACAGCGCAGCTCGGCCCGCGTCAGGCCAGCGGCACGTTTGTAGTCTCAGACAAGGTTGGAGGGGTAGTAGTGAGTCGTGAGGTCCATGAAGGCTTTGCCCAACTTGAGGATCTGCCGACTCTGGTCCACGTTGCTGAGCAGTATGACGCGCACCGTGAAGATGCTCTTGCCATGTTCCACATCCAGGCAGCCCAGGAGGCGCCGCCCCAAGTTCGCCATGAGGTGACAGAGAGGCACGGGGCTGTAGGCGCTGCGCCAGAGCCGCAGCAGGTCGGCCTGGAACTGCTTCAAGGTGGCGGCGCCGCAGCAGCTCCGGGCGTTCAGCTGAAGGCTCAGGGCCGCGCAGCCTTCGGCTTCTTTTTTTTTCTGTGTTTGTGTTCTCTGAGAAGAAAGAGAAAAAAGGAAAGGTTCTGAGAGAGAGAAAAAAAACTGGAATCCCAAAGCGCGAGGCCGCGAGGCGCGCATCCAGCATAGGGACCGAGCCATCCGGCTGGACCACTGCGCCCGCCTCCTCCAAGAACTCCCGGAAGGTCCCGCAGAGTGTTTTGAGGGCTGAGGGACTGCGAGAGGCAAGAGCTCCCTCTCGGTGAGCTCGCCGCGGCGGTCGAAGAGCCCCTGTAGGTCCAAGGCCTGCCAGGCCTCTTCGATCTCTGGCGGGAGGTGGGAGACAGCGTGGCCGGAGGTGTTCAAGGTGCTGATGCGCCAGCCGCAGTGCCGGAGCGAGGCGGGCTCGTCGCACACCAGCAGCAGCTTGCCGGAGATCGGGGCCTCGGCCTTGAGCTGCTTGGGGACCTCCATTGAAGGCGCGGAACTGCCGCCGCCCTCCTTTCTGGCCAGCTGGCCCTGGCGACCTCGCACTCCAGCAGCTTGCCCTGCAGCCGCACTTGCTCAGCTTGGCCCGGGCGACCTCGGACTCCAGGAGCTTCTCGGCGAGCTGCGCCTCTCTCAGGTGGCTCCGCCTCTCCTGCTCGTCCTCACGCTGCAGGTGCTGCTGCAGGAGTGAGTCCTCCCGCACCTCGTGGGCCTGCCGCATCTCCTGGAGCAAGGTGTTCTGCGTCTGTAGCAGCTGGCCCACCAGTCGCTCGCCTAAGGCAGCCACTGCCTCCATTGGGCTCTCTGCGAGCGTGACCATCGTGGGGACCAGGCTGTTCTTTTGCTTCAAAGGAGGCTCCTCTTCCAAGGCCTCCCTTCTTCCGCCTTCTTCCAGAACAGGAGCGGCAGGTCCCGGCGGCAGCCCAGGAGCCTCAGCTTCGGCTTTGGCCTCTATTCTTTCGCCTTCAGGAACAGCCGTAGCAGCAGTCGGCCCCGGCGTCCCAGGAGTCTCAGGAGTAGGCGCAACCGTCTCGCCCAAGACGATACAGTAAGGCTGCCTCGTAGCGGCTCCCGCCACCCCACCACGAGGCATGGAGCCTGACGGGGCGTCGGACTCCAGCTCCTCGTCTTGCTCCAGGACCTCTTCTTCTTCTGCTCCTTCTGCTACAGCCGGGCCAGCAGCATGGGCAGCATGTCTGTCGAGGTCCAGCGACGGCATGTGCTGCTCCACGTCCTGCGTGGAGAGCACCCACCCGGCCCTCTCCCGCTCCTCGGCGCTGTGCGCGGCCGCCAGGAGCTCGCGCTGTGTCTGCGAGCCGGTCTGCTGCCAGCTCGGCGCCCGCCTCAGCCCCCGGGCCACGAGCTCTTGCTCTTTCCGCTCCTGAGTGCTGGCTCCTGCAGAGGCCAGCACCGGGTCCAAAGCAGCAGCTTGTCTCAGCCGCTCTGCCGCCATGCATGGGCGTGCGTGCGAAGGGAACAAAAAAAAACAAACTTGCGTCACTTCGCCTGCAACCGCAAGGCCCTTCTATCTCAAACATCAAGCTCTACAAGGTAGAATGTGAAGGCATGTGCCATGGTGACCGTGCGCCCGCGAAAGGCATTTGAGAGCGTCTCTGCTCTGGCCCATGCCCCCCACATCTGAAAGCCGACCCTGCACTTCGGAATACAAACTCCAAGACAAAGTGGCCCATCTGGACCAGGACCTCTTTCTTGACCCAGGTCTTCTGGTCGTGCTGCACCCACTTGACCTGGTACCTCAGACTTCAGAAGCTCTTGGGTCTCCTGAGGGTGTTTGGGCTTTGAAGGCCTCAGTTCATGTTGGAACCGCGTGTGCCTGTCCCGACCAACTGAGTTAGTTATGCCTTGTGCTTTCGTGGAGCCAAACAACCTACACGGTCAATGAAAGCTGCAGAAAACTACGAAAACATAAAAGTACTTGCGCATGCTCTCTGCGCGAACCATAGACGACTGAATCCAAGTGGCTCCAACTCCCCGGATGCATTGCAGCGCCGGTCACATGCAGTCTCAGGTACAACAGGCACATCGGCCTGAGCGACACTGCTGCAGAGCTGAACCTCAAGAGCTGCTGTACTGGGTTCTGGCAACATAAACCCCACTTTTGTGGCTGACAGGCCATATTGGGGGTTGCGCAAGTCATTCCAGGCTTCGGAGCTTCCGTTCTTGTCTTTGTAAAATCCACAAATTGCAACGATCGTGTCGATACAGCCTGGCCTCGCCCTCGCCACAACGCTGGGGAAGTCCTGTTGCCCGGTCGAGTTGCCAGCGCTGCTTCCTTCAAAAGGCGACAGGGGCTGGCGGAATATTTTTCGGGGGGGCTTGCGGGGAACTGCAGGGCTTCCCCTGCTCTGCCGGCATTGAGCATGGGTCGCAGCATGTGTCGCTTGGGGGCTGCAAAATGGCCTTTTTGGGGTGAAGTCTCAGGAGGTAAGTGTTGGGATTCAGGAGCCAAGGTGCAACTCGAGGCCCTATGAACAACGCCGGGTCCTCAGGGCTTTCTCCTCTGCCGTGAGGACCTCTGATGCCACTGCCAGCGATTCTTTGTCCCCTTGGCTGAGAGGGCTTGCAGGGTCTAAGAATTGAGCCCTTCTATGGTTGCATGTTCGTACTTGGTAAACTGGTAGCAGCCATATGTTGAATTAAAGAAAGCTTTTTCGGGTTCCAGGGCTCATTGCTCGAGGTGAACGCCAAACACGTGCTTTGTTAGGTTTTTGGAGGTTCCAAAATTCACGGGCAGAGAGGCAGGAGGTCCCTCCTGGCAAAACCCTCTCCTAAGACCCTTTGCAAACCTTGCTGCACCATGTACACCAAGCTCCAGGAGCTGAAGCCCTGAGCCAGAGAAACAAAGAGACCTCTCTTCAAATTACTCCCAAGGGTCGGTGGTCTGCATAGCGCCAGAGCATGTACTGCAAGGCCGTCGCATCCTCCGGCTACAGAAATGGAATGAAGGCTCTTGTTTTAGCTGTCTTCTTTTTGTTATTGTCTTGAGTAGGCGAAGTCTCGGCTTCGAGACTGGCCCCTTGGCCCTTGAAGCTTGAGACTGCACTTTACCCAGGCAGATTCGAAGGCCTAGGCAACGACCTTGGTGCATTGGCCATTCTGCTCGCTGAAGTCTCCCAGTTGCTGTCAATAATCCCAACCTCCCACTCCCCGGAGCTACCAACCCCCCTGCTGGGCGTCCTTGAAGTGCCCGAAGCGTTGCAGCGAATGCTTGCAGACGTACGCTACTCCTCTCGCCGCAGGTTTTGGGGAGGACGATGTCCGCTTTGGAGATTGGGGGTGCCTTGAAGTTGCTCAAGGTTTCTGAAGGGTTCTAGGAGTAGGGGCGGGAGGCAGCGGCCTAAGGCAGTACCTTAAAGCTGCCTCGCTACCAGTCATTCCTTGCTTTCCACCAAACTCCTGCGACTGACAAACCTTGCAACCCAACATTTCAAGGACCCCAGCCCAGAAGTGCAACACCCCTCGCTTTCTGGGACATACAGCGGAACCGCACTGAAAAACATCAACTGAGGCATGCACTTGCTCCCACCACGCGCTGAACGGACCCGTGGGTGGGCAGCAGTCGCCCGCTCAGCACCTTGCAAGAATCCAAACTTTGAGCGTGCAAAAACGAAGTCAGCAACACACCAACGGCATTGAGGTCGTATTGACTATCTGTCTGGGGTCAGTTGTGTGGCGCTTCCTGATTCAGGTCCTGGGCTTGATGTTAGCTTAGGGCCTAGGGCTTGTTCGTCAAGTGTTAGAAAAAAAGAAAAAAGAAAAAAAAAAAAGCTCAAGGTTGCAGGAACTAGTACATTAGGGATTTCAGACTGTCACTGTTGTCAGGAACGATCGCGTACCGGATCGCGTGTCTTTCTTGTCCTGAGAGGTCGAAAACACTGGCAGGCGTGGCAAGCTTATGGACTTGGGGTGGGTGGGGTTATAGGGCCACTGAAAACAGCACGATTTGGGGATTTTGGGGCACTGTCCGCGGATGCATTTCTTGGCGTGAAAACTGCGTCTTCTGTGGGCTTGTCACACATCGCCTTGCGAGTCTTGGGCACTGACGTGTGTGCATCGCACAAAGATGCTTTTCGCTTGGGTTGCTTTTCGTTTGGGTTTTGACACCTGACCGGACTTCATGAGAGCACGATGATAACATCCGTCGTACCAGCGCGTGCGAATGGTCAGAGCATCCATGCCCGCACGATGATAACGTCCGTGCTCCAGTGCACGCGAATGATCAGAGCATCCATGCCCGCACGATGATAACGTCCGTGCTCCAGTGCACGCGAATGATCAGAGCATTCATGCCCGCACGATGATAACGTCCGTAGTACCAATGCGTGCAAATGGCCAGAGCATCCGTGACAACACGATGGTAGCGTCCGTGGTACCAGTGCGTGCGAATGGTCAGAGCACCCATGCCCACACGATGACAACGTCCGTGAATCCAGCGCGTGCGAATGGTCAGAGCATCCAGGCTCGCACGATGAGAACGTCCATATTTACAGCACGTGCGAAATGGCCAGAGTTTTACCAGTGCCTGTGAATGGCCAAATCTGCCCACAGGTTGTGGTTCGGTTCTGGCGTTTCCATAGGCGGCCTACCGTTACGGCAGATCATTTGCAGTTCACGACGGTTTCTTGAGGCCTAGGATTAAAGGGTTCCAAGATTCACGTAGGGTGTCCTGGGGCTTCGATGCCGAATCCTTCACCTGACTAGTCAAAGCGTAGCTTGAACCTGCACCCCAAGCCCGAGACACTTGAAGCTCGAATCCCAGACCAGTGCCCACCTTCAGCAGCGTGGATCGTCCGGAGCCCATGGGCCCCATCAGTGCCACACGGCTGGCCTGCACAGCGGTTGACTTAGGGTTTAGGGTTTAAGGTTTCAGGGTTTAGTAGCTGCAGCTTGTTCTATGTGCAAAGAACCTTTGTGTGTCACTCGCCTCTCTGGCCGCTGTCAGCAATACCCAGCAGGGTATTCCGTATAAACTTTGAAGTGGTTCAGTCGTCGTTCAGCGAGCCATTATTTGCACCCTCCACAAGCAGTCCCCACAGGCACGTATCAATTGGGGTTGGTGTCATCACAAAAGCACTGATGTCTGGCAGCCTTGAAAAAGTCTTCGGATCGAGCAGAGCCAACGAAGCAAAAGCAACGTCTCGGTGGGCATGGACGGCAAGGAGAACAGAACCCAGGTGGCTATTGGTGATCAGGTAAACGATGCTATCAAGCGCTAGGTGCATGCGGAAGTCATGGGCAGGAAAGGCATGGATGCTTAGAAGAGGACCACTCTTGCCACTTTTGAAATTCTTCCAGATCCAGCGAACCGTTTCGATAAAGCCATAGTGATAGGCCAGCTCTGCTTGATACTGGTACTGATTAGAGCACTCAGCCGAGGCCTCGATGACTCGATGGTAGTATGACGACTTCATTGTAAAGACACGATGAATTTGTTTATAAGTTGAATCTAGATGTACGAGTTAGGAGAGAGTACATGAGTATGGAGTGAATCATGGACCCACAAACTACCAGCTTCCAAGCTGGGGGAAAGTTGGATTGTGAAAAGACAAGCCTCAATTTCTTTGGAGATGGTGACTGCTGCGAGATACGATACCGTGTTGCTACCAAAGAGGTGAGGCAGATGTCGAGGCGGTGCCAGATTGAACAGCAAGGCGGAACCTTTCCAAGGCAGATGACCGCAACTCGACCATGGAGTTGTCAAGCTCCTCTTTCATACAAGCCAACTGCTCGAAGCAGAAGACACGCTCTGGGTAGAGGCAGACGTAGGCGGTGTGGGAAGAGGCCGGATGAGGAAGACAATGGTGAGGGATGCCGTGGAGAAGCCACAACAGAAGGTCACAAGGGCAAACTTCAAGAGGCGCCTGGCAATGCCCTGGACGAGGCAGCCCTCGAACTCTCCAAGAACACCGTTCAATCATCTGTTCTCAGGTATGCTGCTCTTGCAGGGGTTCGCCACTGCAGCTAGTTCTCAAGCTACTCTGTGCAGCCCCACGAAGGCAACACATCGGTTCAACCTTGGTTTTACAGCTCTGGGCTCTTCCATGAACTGTGATGTGAACAGACTGCTTGCGCGAGTTCATGTCAGGCGCGGGGAGGGGAAGTAGTAACAGGCCCCAAAAATGCCCAATGATGCTGCTCAAGCCCCAAATTCAACAAACATGAGAGTCCTATTCTGAGGACACCCTGGGCCCCGGGGGCCTGGGACACACTGAGCTCTGCATTGCGCACCGCAGGCTGTGGTTGCTCTGGGTACCTGGGCGAGCCACATCGGGTTTAGGGTTTAGGGTTTAGGGCTTAAGGTCCCAAATCTCAAAAGCCTGAACCATATATTTCATAGCAGCGAGCGGAACGGGCTCCCCTCTACGCTCTACGCACAGGTGCACCCATGCATGCGTGCAAACAAGGGGTCATATGCAAGCACACAATGCGTGACCAGCAACCGCACCCGACGGTGTTCCTTGCTTCTCTCCTGCCTCTTAATCGATGAAGAACGGCTGTGTCGTTCTTCCGCATGCTCAAGCAACACTGAACCCAAGCCTAGCCCTAAACCCTAAACCCTAAACCCCAAACCCTTAGAAGCCTAGCCTGCACGAGATTCCGTGTTGCATTTGACAAGTCCGAGGCGCTGGTAGGTGACCCCGCACATCTTCAGGATGGCCTTCCCAGAACGTTTGTTCAGAATTCTGAGTGGATGGAGGTTTAGGGTTTAGGGTTTAGGGTTTAGGGTTTAGGGTTTAGGGTTTAGGGTTTAGGGTTTAGGGTTTAGGGTTTAGGGTTTAGGGTCTAGGGTCTAGGGTCTAGGGTCTAGGGTCTAGGGTCTAGGGTCTAGGGTCTAGGGTCTAGGGTCTAGGGTCTAGGGTCTAGGGTCTAGGGCTAGGGTCTAGGGTCTAGGGTCTAGGGTCTAGGGTCTAGGGTCTAGGGTCTAGGGTTTAGGGTTTAGGGTTTAGGGTCTAGGCTTAGGCTCAGGGTTTTGCGGAGATGTGGTTTGGTTTGGAACGCCTGGGAACGGGCTCCAGTCTTTCGGAGCTTCACACAAACTTCCCTGGCGAGGGCAGTCTGCCTTGCCCCGCGTCGTGACGCCGTTGAGCGGCCCGGGCAGTGGGAAGGTGAACCTGTGGCCCTCGTGCGGCTCCTCCTTGGGCGTGCGTGTGGGAAGTGGGGGGTCGATGGCTTGAGGTTGAGGTGGCCAAAAAGCACGCTCTTTCGCAGTCGATTCTCCAAACCCACTGAATCTGAATCCTGCATACGCATCCCGAACCTGCAACTAAACTGATCACACTTTGGCAGCCCGGCAGCTACCAGATCCACCAAAACCTTCGACCGCCCCAGCTCCTTCGGTTTGTGGTGCGGAGGTCGGGAATCTTCTAGTTCTTGGAATTCAGTGTCGTGCGTAGGGAAACATTGAATCACCGTCAATCTGAGCAACCCTTAACTGTCAAAACAAACCTCACAGCTTAGACTCCCGCATCACTTCAGGGCAAGAACAATCACACAGGCTCAGAGTTTCCTTCTGCAAGGGCGGTAGCCTTCCCAGCAGCACCTGAGCCACCACTTCAGACTTCGCACGTCGGATTGTTGAGGCGCCTATGATTTGTCCAAGCTTCTCAGGTTGACTTGAAGAGCGGCAATGCCAACGATCATGACACATCGCTCGCTGTGTGTTGGATGTTGAATGAGATTCTGCGATTTTCTCGTCTTGGCCCACTTCCCATTCGGAGAATTCTCTGCGGGATTTTGCATTCCTGGGACACTTTCCTGCGTTCGCTGCACGATTTTCTCTGGGGTTGAGCTCTCCTGTAGGGATACTCTGCCGGAGCCTCTGTTTGGTTCCATGTTTCAATTTCTAGGAGAGGATTCCATTGTGGCAATGGTTCTGTAAACCCTAAACCCCAAACCCGAAACCCTAAACCCTGATAACTTCGTGGCCACGGGGCATCGTCTTTCTCCTTGTAGCCACCAGAGACTGGCACAGCGGCTGGCGAGGTCATGGCCATGTCGAGCGCCCAAGATGGCTCGGACACACCGAACTTCGGTCCTGTTCCCTGAACCCTAAACCCTAAACCCTAAACCCTAAACCCTAGACCCTAAACCTTAAACCCTAACCCTAAACCCTAAACCCGAAACTCTTACTTAGTTATTTGCTTGGTCTACTTTTGGCCTTCTGCCATCTCGTGAGATCTTGCTTGGATGTGGCCGTAATGGCTGCGGTTCTGCCGCTCCACAACAATGACAGACAACATGTCATGGTTGCTCAGTGTACGACAAGGAGTTCCAAATGCAGAACATAAGGACAACGTCGAAACTCCTCTCATCCTCCTCCAACATGTCGCGGGAACCCCAACGCACAGCGAATCGAAATTCTGGCTGTCAGGCCGCTTCGTATCTGGATGCATCTGGGAGGAATCAGATGCATGACGTGCTGAATTCCATTTAGGGTTTCAGGTTTAGGGTTTAGGGTTTAGGGTTTAGGGTTTAGGGTTTAGGGTTTAGGGTTTAGGGTGTAGGGTTTAGGGTTTAGGGTTTAGGGTTTAGGGTTTAGGGTTTAGGGTTTAGGGTTTAGGGTTTAGGGGTAGCTGCCACTTTGCCCCAAGTTTTCAGCTCCCGGCACGTCGCTTCTTGCTGGTACCACGCGAGGAGGCACCGAGCTGGGGGTGCGGAGCTGGAGCGCCTGGGGCCCAAGGCGTGCGCCAAAGGAAATGGGCCAAAGGAGCGGGCCGAAGGAGTGAGGGTTGGGCCCTTACGGAGGCTTGCATTTTCCAGTTAAACCGCGTGCCGAAGTGAACTTGCGAATCTGTGTAAGATTCTAAGCCCCTTTCCCTGCCAACAAGACGTAAAGCTGGGACCTGCAGAAGATTACTTGTTAAGAGACAGCAGTATAACAAATGTCCAAGTCTTGATGTGTTGCTACAGCCGGAGTCGGCCACAACTAGGACGACTAAACATACATGGGGTTTGGACCTACAACTACTTAACGAATTGCTGTGGACCCCTTTACCACTGCCTGGACACTCCACGACCTTGTTCATATTACTTATCCTTACAACCCTCGTGGAAGTCTGTATGCTTGGTATAGTTTGTGACCAAATGAGAAAGCACAAGACTCATGAATCAATTCATTAAGTATTGCTTTTTCTTACTCTCTTACGAACCTGTTCTTTGCAAGTCAAGATAGCATGAAGCACAGAGTCTCGAGAGTTCGGTCACAAAATCTTTGAGAAATCAACATTGTCATGAAGTTCAAACATGCAAAAACACATGCAAAGAGCACACGCACCCCATGGCCAGCCCTTCTGAAACGCTTTCTGGCCTTCGGGGCTTTATTGCTCAACAAACTTCGGACTGCGCCCCACATCCTGGAGTTCTGCACGTGGGCCTGCGCCCCGGGCGGCATCCAGCCACCTTTTCCACCCCAGGCGCCTTTCGCCTGCGCGACAGCCGTATCTACCTAAAGAATTGTTAATGTATATTCATACTTATGCTCCTTTTTGTATGTTTCATGCACTAGTAGTTATAAAGTGGACCTCCAGACCAGATCAGGAACATAGCATCAGGAGCACGTCAGATGGTTAGGCTGCAGTACCCTTCGTTGTGTTCAGACATGAGCATGTTAAACAGTGGAAGGAAAGAAAGCAGTGGAAATAAAGAAAGCAGTGGAAAGAAAGAAGGAATGAAAGAAAAAAAGACAGAAATAAAGACAGACAGACTCAAAGAGCGAGAGAGAGTTAGAGTCAGAGAGAGAGAGAGAGGCAAAAGAGTCAATGAGAGTCAGAGAATCAGAGCGAACCCACAAGAATCTTCAATCAGACCGGTGAGCAATCTTGTGGAAAATAAATGTTTTGGACGCCCAGGTCGGGGGAGGTAGTACGCGAACCATCCCAAACCCTGCCTGCGCCATTGGGTTCCAGGCCGCGGCCTCTCCAGCCGGGCCCCGGGCCGGCATTAGGCCCATCCTCAAAGCTTCAGAAGGCTTGCGGGCCCCAATACGAAGCAAAGGACACAACGGCGTTTTGCCTGCAAACAGCACGCGCACGGGACCGAGCCAGAGCACGTCTTTTCGAGCGCCGCGCCGAGGCAGTTCGATTTGGGATCTGTCGTGAGTCGTGTCGGACGATAGTTGTTATGAAGAACCGAAACAGCGCGCGCTGCTTTGGTTGCTGATTGGAGCTGGCCTGATACCTTCCTACTGCTCCAGGCTGCTGTCGCTGGGGGAGGCAGGAAGGCGACGACCCATGAAGCTTCACCAAAAGCAACCCACTGATGAGGCTAAGCCGAATTCGGTGCCACGATGCTTGCCGGGCTTAACAGCGGCGAGCTTGCCTTAGTTGATGCCACGAAGTTCCTCCACAATATCTCCCGGATCTCACTGGCCCATCTTCTCGCGTTGGATTTGCTGATGCGCCTGTCCTGCACCAGCCTGCGCAACCGAAACTAAGGAGCTACTAGAGCTCAGGTGGAGAGAAACCGCATCTAGCTGAAGCTGTTCCGAGTTGCAGCTGGGCGCTCGCATGGCCCTCTGTGCGAGCAAACATGTTTCGCTGTACAGAATGCCATAAACCTGCTCAGATCGGACTTCTGAAACAACGCTGCAGGTCATGGGCATGGTCAGAACTGAGACCACACCCATGACCTGCAGCGGTGTTTCAGAAGTCCGATCTGAGCAGGTTTATCGCATTTCCATCGCCGAAGCTTTTGTGCAAAGGAAGCAGTAGTCAGGCACGCCCTACTGCTGAACCCACTGATGAGGCCAAGCCGAACTCGGTGCCACGATGCTTGCCGGGTTTAGCTGCGGCGAGCGCTGCCTTAGTTGATGCCAGAAGTTCCTCCACAATATCTCCCGGATCTCATTGGCCCATCTTCTCGCGTTGGATTTGCTGATGCGCCTGTCCTGCACCAGCCTGCGCAACCGAAACTAAGGAGCTACTAGAGCTCAGGTGGAGAGAAACCGCATCTAGCTGAAGCTGTTCCGAGTTGCAGCTGGGCGCTCGCATGGCCCTCTGTGCGAGCAAACACGTTTCGCTGCACAGAATGCCATAAACCTGCTCAGATCGCATTTCCATCGCCGAAGCTTTTGTGCAAAGGAAGCAGTAGTCAGGCACGCCCTACTGCTGAACCCACTGATGAGGCCAAGCCGAATTCGGCGCCACGATGCTTGCCGGGTTTAACAGCGGCGAGCGCGCCTTCGTTGATGCCACGAAGTTCCTCCACAACATCTCCCGGGTCTCATTGGCCCATCTTCTCGTGTTGGATTTGCTGATGCGCCTGTCCTGCACCAGCCTGCGCAACCGAAACTCAGGAGCTACTAGAGCTCAGGTGGAGAGAAACCGCATCTAGCTGAAGCTGTTCCGAGTTGCAGCTAGGCGCTCGCATGGCCCTCTGTGCGAGCAAGCATGTTTCGCTGTGCAGAATGCCATAAACCTGCTCAGATCGGACTTCTGAAACAACGCTGCAGGTCATGGGCATGGTCCCAGAGAACTGAGACCACACCCATGACCTGCAGCGGTGTTTCAGAAGTCCGATCTGAGCAGGTTTATCGCATTTCCATCGCCGAAGCTTTTGTGCAAAGGAAGCAGTAGTCAGGCACGCCCTACTGCTGAACCCACTGATGAGGCCAAGCCGAATTCGGTGCCATGATGCTTGCCGGGCTTAACAGCGGCGAGCGCTGCCTTAGTTGATGCCACGAAGTTCCTCCACAATATCTCCCGGATCTCATTGGCCCATCTTCTCGCGTTGGATTTGCTGATGCGCCTGTCCTGCACCAGCCTGCGCAACCGAAACTAAGGAGCTACTAGAGCTCAGGTGGAGAGAAACCGCATCTAGCTGAAGCTGTTCCGAGTTGCAGCTGGGCGCTCGCATGGCCCTCTGTGCGAGCAAACATGTTTCGCTGTACAGAATGCCATAAACCTACTCAGATCGGACTTCTGAAACAACGCTGCAGGACATGAGCATGGTCCCAGAGAACTGAGACCACACCCATGACCTGCAGCGGTGTTTCAGAAGTCCGATCTGAGCAGGTTTATCGCATTTCCATCGCCGAAGCTTTTGTGCAAAGGAAGCAGTAGTCAGGCACGCCCTACTGCTGAACCCACTGATGAGGCCAAGCCGAATTCGGTGCCACGATGCTTGCCGGGTTTAACAGCGGCGAGCGCTGCCTTCGTTGATGCCACGAAGTTCCTCCACAATATCTCCCGGATCTCATTGGCCCATCTTCTCGCGTTGGATTTGCTGATGCGCCTGTCCTGCACCAGCCTGCGCAACCGAAACTAAGGAGCTACTAGAGCTCAGGTGGAGAGAAACCGCATTTAGCTGAAGCTGTTCCGAGTTGCAGCTAGGCGCTCGCATGGCCCTCTGTGCGAGCAAACATGTTTCGCTGTACAGAATGCCATAAACCTGCTCAGATCGGACTTCTGAAACAACGCTGCAGGACATGAGCATGGTCCCAGAGAACTGAGACCACACCCATGACCTGCAGCGGTGTTTCAGAAGTCCGATCTGAGCAGGTTTATCGCATTTCCATCGCCGAAGCTTTTGTGCAAAGGAAGCAGTAGTCAGGCACGCCCTACTGCTGCCGCTGTCAAATCACCATCACCACCACCTTCTAAGCCTGGGCACCCTCCCAGCTTCCAACAACTGGGGCCATGTTTACTTTTGGTCCGAAACTAGCACAGCGTGCACATGTCACCATCATGAATGCTCACCTTGTTGGAGAATATTCGTTTTGCAGAACTCTAAGATTATTTGGAAATTGGGAATCAGGTGCTTTCGTAAATTGGGAGATGTGAATGTTTCAATCGCCAAACATACCCACCCCTTAAACACAATAGTAAGGACACAGCCAAAACACATCGCAAATCGTGAGGTTCCAGTGGCCACTGGCGTTCCAACAACATTGGTCCTCGAGAAACTTCGAGAACTTACGCTAACCTGACCTTTAGCAGGTGTAACGCTGGGTTCAAGCTCAACCGGGCCGTGTCATGAGGCTGCAAGAAATGATCCT